TCAAGAAATCACACAATAACAAATCCTGGCAGGGTTGTGGGGAGAAAGGAACCCTTCTCCATTGTTGGTGGGAGTGCAGACTGGTGCAACCACTATGGAAATCAATATGGAGATACCTCAAAGAGCTTGGACTGGAGGTTCCATTTGACCCAGCCATCCCTCTGCTGGGTATCTTTCCAAAAGAACTACAAGAATCACATCACAGAGAAATATGTGCACCCATGTTTATAGCGGCACAGTTTGTAATAGCTAATTCTTGGAAACAGCCCATTTGCCCATCCGTTGGAAACTGGATAAAGAAGATGTGGTTTTTCTATAAAATGGAATACTACTCAGCCATAAAGAACGAGAAAATAGATTCATTCATACGAAAATGGATACATATTGAAGATATACTCCTAAGTGAAATAAATAAGTCACACATGTGTAAATACTGAATAGTTTTCCTGGTGTGAATAATCTGCAATAATACATAAGATCCTAATAAGATTACTGACATTTAGAAATGGGAAGAAAGGAGCTAAAGGTGTAGGGAAGGTGGGATGTGTAGGGGAAAAAGCAAGTCACAGAAATTTTTTGGTTTTCTACTACATGTAAAAGTTACATTTCCACAGCACTATCAGCAGTTCAGTGTGTAATAAGCAGCATTGACACACACACACACACACACACACACACACACATACACACGTATATCTTAGTTTTAAATACTTTATTTCTAAAACATGCTCATGATGATCTGAGTCTTTAGCAAGTCACGATCTTATTTCTGGTAGATCAGCTCACCCCATGGTGATGGCCAATCACTGATTAGGATGGTGCTCTCTGATGACTGAGCTGACTGGCAATTCCAGGAAACAAGACAACTGAAGCAGGCCACATAGATCGACTCTTCCTTTCCAAACTATTTCTCGGCAGTATGTGGTGGCATTTGATAGCATTTTATTCACAACAGAATTTTTTCAAAGAAAATCCTAAGATCTGATTGCTTCACTCCTGAATTAGACCAAATATTTAAAGAACCAATACCAAGTCTCTGTCAACTTTTCCAAAAACAAGGAGAGGAAGAATATCTTCAATGTCTTTTTACAGGGCCCAAGTTACTCTAACACTGAAGCCAGACAAAGACATCGCAAGAAAAGAAAGCTATCGGCTAATATTTTTGATGAACATAGGTACAAAAATCTTTTTTTTTTAATCCACAAAAATCTTGAACAACCACCGAACCAAATTGAACACTATTCACCATTACCAAGTGGAGTCCATCCCAACGATGCAAGTACAGTTGGACATTCACAAATCAATAAACAGGATACAAAATGAAGAACAAATTCATTAACAAAATGAAGAACAAAAATATATAGTCACCTCACTAGATGCATAAAAATCACTAGACAAATTCAATATCCTTTCCTAGTAAAATCTCTCAAATTATATATGAAAAGAATACACTGTAACACAAAAGGCTATGTGTAATAAGCCTACTGCTAACATAACAACTGTGAAAAATTGGAACCATTTTCTCTAAAATCATGGAAAAGACAAGAATGCCCACTCTTACCATTTAGAGTCAACATAATAGTGGAAGTCCTTGTCAGAGCAATAAAGCCAGAAGAAATTTTTTAGAAAGGCATCCAAACTGGAAAGAAGGTAGTAAAAGTGCTACTGTTTGCAGGCTGATGACGTGATCATGTATGGAGACAACTCTACAAGTTCCATCAAAAAGCTGATGGAAGGGCTGGGGATTTCACTCAATGGTTCTACCACCCTACCTCACAAGCACAAGGTCCTGAGCTGAATCCCCTGTATCAAAAGAAAAAAAGCTGGTAGAGTTGAATTTCAAAATTCAGTAAACTTGTAATATTTACAATATCCTTACACTTATTCAGATCTTATGTTATTCAGTCATCCTCAGTACTATTCAAGAGAAGGAATTCAGATTTTTTCCTCTTATTTCTTTTAATAGCCTATTTAATACATAACAGTATATAATTGATTGTTGATAAAGATAACAAGCAGCCGCCTGTTGAAATGATCTTGGCTGTGATGGTTCTTCAGCTGAAATCTAGAGGCCCAGGAGTACCATTCATCCCCTGGCGTCCTCTCTGCTCCACTCCCAATCCACTTGATCCTCAGCCCCTCTTCCTCCGCAGCCATGTTAAGATCAGTAATGACTTTGTGTTGCTAAAGGCCAATTTCTCAGCTGCTCTGCAGCTAGTGACACTACCCACTGACCAATAAACCCATCGCTTGAGATTGTGGAACACCACACTTTCCCAGTCTTCTGCTCCCCAGCATCTGCTCCACTTCGTGTTTAACTCACTAATTTGACAGGCTCCGTTTGTTTATATTAAATTCCCATATGCATCTTGTCTAATTCTGAGACTTTGAAGCCACTGATTAGTTTATGTGTTGTTTGCTGCATCCAGTGCTTCCACCAAACTTCTAACCAATAAGACCACTTCACATCTCTTCTTTGTTCAGTCTCTATCTACTTTCTGTAGGAAATCCTGCAGCCCTTGGGGGATAATCTCCAAAGTGGCCAGAGCTTAATTTTGATAACAATGAAACATCAATTTCTAAGACGGTGTGTGGTAGCGCAAGCCTATAATCCCAGCACTCAGGAGGCTGAGGCAGGAGGATCGCTTCGAGTTCGAGACCAGCCTGGGATACATAGTGAGTTCCAGTTCAGTACATCGTGAGACCCTGTCTCAAAAAAAAGAAAAAAGAAAGAAATGAATGTCTCAAAAAATGTCTAAGGCACAGTAGCTCTAATTTAGTTTGCTAGGACTCTTCCAAATTGCTTCTCCAAGTTCCCGGAAAGATACCTTCATCCTGGTGAACCTACCTGGCTCCTGATTGCATCAGGATCCAGCCTGGGGGAAGAGAAGAAGGAGAGATTATGCCCTTCTGTTAATCCCCTCACTCAGAAATTGCTTACCTTGATTCCGCTTATCTCTCAATGGTCAGCTAAACACAGGGTGCTATCACGGTAACAGAAGAAGGGGACATGAGGTTTTATCTTATTTTAATCTCCTGGAAATTTTACATGATGGAAAGGGAGAATGGATATTGGAGAAAGCTAGCAGCTGTCTAGCCTCTTACTGTCTCTCAGATTCTGTGTTCATGGGAAAATATTTTGAAAGTCCCTCAGAAGTAATGACTGACATGGTAGAGAACAGGGGTAAAGCTTTGGAAAGGGCTCCAGGAGATTGGGGCAGGTGTGCAATGCCCCTTCACGGTGTAATCTCAGGTAAATCCCTTTGTCTGTTCTAAACCTACGTGTGTTAAGTAAGGGTGGTCTTTAAAGAACACAGGGTACATTTACAAGCAAACCAGGCAAGACATCCCTAACAAAGCTTCTGGTTTGATGAAGAAAAATACATCAAACCCAAAAAACACACACACAGTTATGCTTCCGTGGTGGAAATAACAGGCTGTTCTGGTTTTTTCTGGCCGATCAAAGTTGTAGCATTCGTAGCTCTTGCACATGGTAGATGCTATGTGTCCCAAAAGCTGCTGGTCCTCTCTCTACTTGGAGGCCTCTGCCTCTGTGAGACTTCTGGATCCTGAGGCCAAGGCTGTTTCTGGATTCTTACTTCTGATCCTGATTTTCACTCACCTCTCTTTTGCTCCCTGTTTGGTCAGCTTCTCTTCCTCTGTTTCTGGAATTTGCTTATGCTGTTTGGGACATAAGTTGGGAATTACTCTTCTGCGTTTCCCTCATCCAAATGTAACTACACAGAGCAGTGGTGCATGCAAAGGACAGGTCACAAGAGCGAACTTGAGACAGCACAGCTAGCACAGCTGGGTTCACATCTACGCTGTATGAGGCCACACAGGCTAGTTGCTGATTGTGTTTGTGCTACCATTCCATCCTTTGAAAAAAATGGAGTGGTACTAATTTTTGCCTCTTGGCTATTCAGGGATTTAAAGAGGCAATGCCTCATGCACTCGCAGTAGTTGCTGTTCATTATTCACTCCAGGAGGAGCTACTCTTCTTTTGCCACTGCAAAGCTGCATGAGTAACTCTCCTCAGATGCCAAGCCCTTTATTCTTTTTTACTGGTCCTCACAGATACCTCACATAAAAGCTCTATTCAGCAAAACAAACTCTGCTACAAATCTTCTGGAAGAGAAAATGAGATCAATGTTTTGACTCAGTAGTCATCCGTCAATATTCCCATATTGATACCTCTTTCCGCTGGCATTCAGGCCTCACTGTTATCTGTTGCATTCTTCTCAATGTTGCGGAGCAATTCTGCTCCAATACAAACCCCACCCATGCACTGTGTACCAAAATTCTTCTAAGACCTCACCAACACAATATCCAAAGGAGCAATAGTGGTCCACCTTATTTGTTTGGACACTCGTTCATAATTCTTCTAAACACACCCAGAGTGATCCTCCAAAAGGATGTTGATGAATGAAGGCTCTTTCATCTCAATAGATGTGCTAACTCTGTTTATTGCATTTTCTTTCAGCACTAATATTCAGTCCTGATAAACCCCTCCTTCACCCTCTGAGCAAGTATGAACACAAAGTGTGCAGCTGTAACAAAGCTAGATATCACGAGTAGAAACAAACAGTGCATCCGTCCCCAGCGGCTAACACGTTAGCACATTTCTCATTCACCCAACCCAGCCGTCCTCACACTTGCCCTAGCAAGGGCTCACATATCATTCGTACCCCTAAAACAAGATATTCTTTCTCCTCCTTAGGAATAGCCTGAGTCACGGAAGTGTCACGATCGCCTTTGTCTTTCTGAATTCCAGCACCTGAGAGAAATTTTCTGGCCAGGCCCAAGTAGTGCTTGGGTCCCTAGCCCAGGCAAGTTGACTGGGGATGCTGGGGCCATAGAATATTTCCCTGTCAATAAAGGATCCGTGCTGCACTGCAGAGACTCCAGGCTTCACAGTAAGCAAGAAATGAGTTTGTATCCAGGTGGCAGGACTTCCTAGATTTTAATATTAGTCAGCCTTGCCCCTCCCCCAAGGTGCCATGCATGACCCTCACTCTCCCATAGCGGGGTGGTCTGATAATCGGGGATCGTGCAGCACGTGCTCACGTCTTGTCTGTGTTCCCAGGGTCACCAGTAGAGGGCTTCTGAGCATGGACTCAAATACATCAGCTTGGGTGACAGAAGTCACAACAAGGAAAGGAAAGGGGGAAACTGCTCCTGGAGCTTTCAACGAAAAGGACCTGACGCCGAACCTGGTGATCCTCATCTCTGGCATGGTTGGGCTCGCAGGAAATTCGGTCGTGCTCTGGCTCCTGGGTTTCCGCATGCGCAGGAACGCCTTCTCCGTCTACATCCTCAACCTGGCTGCAGCAGATCTCCTCTTCCTCTGCTGCCACCTTATAGATTCCCTGCTGGTAGTCCTCACGTACTTCCATTCCCACGTTTTCTTCCTCCCCTGCTATAAGACCGTCATGATGATTCCCTACATCACAGGCCTGAGCATGCTGAGTGCCATCAGCACCGAGCGCTGCCTGTCTGTCCTCTGTCCCATCTGGTACCGCTTCCGCCGCCCCAAACACACCTCAGTCACCGTGTGTGTCCTGCTCTGGGCCATGTCTCTGCTGATGTGCATTCTGAACAAGTCTTATTGCGGTTTGATGGATCCCAAGGAAAAGACCGCCGAGTGTCTGAGAGCTAATTTTTCCACGGCTGCGTGCCTGGGTGTTTTAGTCCTGATCCTCTCTGGGTCCAGCCTGGCCATACTGCTCAGATTCGTGCGTGGCGGCAGCAGGCAGGTGCGGCTGACCAGACTGTATGTGGCCATCCTGCTCAACGTGCTGGTCTTCCTCCTCTGTGGCTTGCCCTTGGGCGTCTACTGGTTCGTGTTAATCTGGATTCAGGATAATTTTAGTGATAATTTGCAATATGGGCTTTACCTGACCTCGGTTGTCCTGTCCTCCGTGAACAGCTGTGCCAACCCCATTATTTACTTCTTTGTTGGTGCCTTCAGGCATCAGCTGGGGAGGCAGACGCTGAAGCTACTTCTGCAGAGGGCTCTGCAGGACACCCCTGAGGAGGATGAGCGTGGAAGCCGAGCTCCTCAGGGAACCGTGGAGATGTCAGTGAGCAGGGAGGAGCAGTGATGAAGAGCCTGTGCCCCGGTCCAGATGTGGCTCTAGGAACACTGCCAGCCACTCTTGACAGTTGTTTGCTCTTCTCCCAGCCTCGCTCCTCTGAAATGCTTTGATGACTCCTCATGATCTTCAAAAACACATTTTTCTAGTTTTCTTGACCAAAAAAGCATTAGTCTGAAAATAGACCATTTCCATCCTTCTTGATATTAACAATAAACTTTTCATGTGAACATTCTCTGGATCAAATGGTATCTCATTGCAATGGTTCTTGCCGTAGAAAGAATCCTTGTCCAAAACCATAGAACTTCGTGCTTGTGATTCATTCCTATCTGGAAATAAAGAAAATGGAGATGTCAGGTGGTCTGTCATGAAACATCCTCATGGGACGCCATCCTCAGCAAAAATTTTACATTGATGAAATCATGACTCATTTTGCTGCATCTTGTCACAGCCCACAGTCTGTATTCTGACATCAAACCAATATACAATTCCTGAAAATGTTTTTCAGGGACAATCCCTCCAAGAACTTAGCCTGCATTGTGCCACTAGCTTGTGGGCCAACGGAGAAATCCTTTGCCTCCAGCCACTTCACCTCAGCAGCCAGGAATCTTGAGATAACTAGGGATGCAGTGAGTATCAGGATGGAAGGGACACTTGACCTGGAGTCAAGCAACCTGTGTCCTCAGGCTGACTCCCTGACCACATTTGATCATTTGCCTCTCCAGGACAACTTGAGTGGGCAACCAGATTACAGAATTGCATCAGTCTGATGTATTCATAGGAAGTCTGGAATCTTTTCAGGGTGAGGCTGTAGAATTTGACTCTACCATAGCCATGAGCTATTCAGTTCTTAACTATCATGCTGATTAGAAAACTCTAGTTCGAATCTCTGCATTGTAACTATCATCACAATGAATAATCTTTGTGCTTATTTGGCAGCCACCTTGAATTTAGAAAGGATGCTGCAATGCTCTTTCTATATGTTGGTATGATTATATATTGGGTACCAATCAATGCTTATATAAAAATAGATATGATTTAGTTTCTGTGCCTTGGGAACTTATAGTAACATGTGGAAGAAGAGATATCCTTACATATAAGTATCACATTGATCCAGTTGGCTTTGGCTCCTTCCATGATACAACACAGAGAAGTAGGGAAGAGATAGGGAAAAGACTTGATTAGTAAGCCTACATCGGGAGGTAAATAAGTCAGGGAGGGCTTCCTGAAATACTGGAAATTTAAATTGATGACCCTACAGTTTTATTAATCACACCTATTTTTGTGTGTGTGTGGTTTACATGTAAAGACAAATACAATTCAAAGAATCATTGTTAATAAAGAGTTAAGGTTCAGGCCAGGGATTTAGCTCAGTGGTTCTGCCGCCTGCCTAGAAAGCACAAGGACCCAAGTTTGATACCCGGTACCAAAAAAAAAAATCTATATAAATTTTTATCTGGGTGAGGTGGCTTATGCCTGCAATCCCAGCACTCAGAAGGCTGAGGTAGGAGGATCACAGTAAGTTCCAGACCAGCCTGGGCTACACAGTGAATTCCAGGGCAGTCTGAACTACATTTAAAAAAAAAGAAAAAGAGTTAAGATTCTTTAGGCAATAGTTATGAGACCAAAATGTTTCATTCTCTGTGCCCCCTCCCCACATATTTGATCATGGTAACAAGATCCCTCTTAAGAAGCAAGGGTGCTGTGAGTAATAAGCAATGCTCCTCATTGCCTTGAAGTGGTAGGGATTGGCTTAAGGCCTGAAAAATTAGTTGAAGTCAACTTCAAATGCCGACAAATCAGAAAGATCCATGGTAAGCCAAAAGAGCAGTGTGTTGCTATCCTGATCCTCTTTCCAGGAATATCTCCAGCTCTACTTAGCCAGAAGCTTCAAGCAAAAGCAGCAGAGAATTTTAAAAGGAGAAGTTTGAGAAGTAATGGGGAGAGAGAGAAGCAGTGAAAGACATCCACTTGTCAACTGCACATTTTTTTGTTATTTGGTTTTGGTTTGGTTTTGGAGTTTGACGTGGTTTTGGGGGTGTGGATGTTTGTTCATTTGTTTGTTGGTTGGTTTACTTGTTTTGCCTGCAAAAAGCCCAAGCAGAGAGCAGAGGAGATAGTTTATCTTCAAAGTAAATTGATCATTTTTTAAAAATCAACTTTTTACTTTCTTATAGCCTTGATATGAATGATGGCTTAAGACTTGGTAGTTACCAGAATTCTCATATTTGAAGTATGCCTGTCATGCCACCTGCACCTAAATGTGGTTTCTGAACAGTGCAGACTTACACAGCACTTTGACCTGAGATATGACTCCAGCTCTATAGTGTCTTGAGATTCAGATTAGACTTTTGTTATGCATGTGACAGAACAATGCATCTCAACTTGAGAAGTTCTAATGATACAGTGGGAGAAGAGATGCAGGTTTCAGCCTTTAATTCCTTCTGTAAATGTTTATTTATTTTAAAGAGCTATTGGAAGAAAATATAACAAAAAATGTATATTTGCTTAATTATAATGGAGAGTGTGAGTGAATGCTTACGATATTTTCTTCTAGACAAGTTCCTGGGTTATAAACTTCTCTGTAGCACACCCAGTTTCCTCATTCGTGTCAAATTCAATGTCTATGTCCTTCCAACAAACTGACCTTTTTCAGTTATTTTAAATACTTTATTATGAATTAACTGAGGTTTTTTTTTATTTTCCGTAGGTTTGACATTTAATTACAAAACAAATATGAATGTCCTGATTAACAACAACAACAAAAAAATTGTGGTTTAAAGAAATGGTTATTCCCAAATTTCTATTCACATTTACACAGTCTTAAGCCTTCCTTTTATCACTGTTTACATACAAAAACCTTCATTTGTTCAGAAAAAAAATTTATCTAGCTAGCTACATGGAGTCCACCAATGAAAAGTAACATGGTGTCCTGCTCTTGTTTCAAAAAGGGTTTTATTGGAAAACAGCTGCAAAGGCATGCAGCCCCCAGCCAGTGGCCAGCCCCGAAAGCATTGGTAAATGCAAGCTGCCCAGCCAGGAACCTACACAGACTCCAGTGACTCAGGTGCACAGCCCCCCAGTCAAGGCCCTCGTGGACAAGAGCTACACAGGAAGGAAGGACCCAGCCAGAATCCTACCCAGACAACAGAGCAGTGCAGGGATCCAGAAGGCCATCATTCTGAACCCAGTAATTAACATAGGGGTGAGCAGCAGAGAGAAAACCTCTCTGAGGCTTGCTGAGAATTGAAGACCACTGGGGAGGCAAAGAGTCACCTCAACAAAAGCGCAGCAGACTTCCTCTGTGGAAATGAGAAAACACATAAACAAAACTCAAAACCAGATTACCAGATAATCTAATGCAACCCCAAGGGGCAATCAGAAGGAACAATCTGATACTCAGCCACCTAGATTCCCTGAACTGGCAACAAAAGAGAATCTGCAAAAAAATGAAATTAGAAATAATTTCTCAAGTAATAACAGAGATAGTGTCCATAGTACAAGACACGATTAATAACTCTAGAGCAGACACAGATTTAAAAAAACAGAGAAGCTGAGGAATGTGATGGAATCCCAACATAGGAAACAAATGGCATCTGTAAAACAGATGCAAATATCTTTCCAAGAGATTAAGAATGCCACTAAAAGTTTATGTAGCAAAATGAGCCAATGAGAGCACCGAATACCAGATATAGAAGACAGGTTTGCAATCAGTTACCTGGAAAAGAAAATTTTCTTTAAAATAGTAAGAGAACATAAGAAATCATTTCAGCAGCTGCTACACGATGCAAAGAAGAATAACATAAGACTGATTGGAGTAAATGAACAAACGGGAGATAGTGAAAATGACATTTTTTTAAAAAACTGTTCACAGAAGTAATGGCAGAAAACTTGCCAAGCAGGGGAAAAGAACTTGACATACAGATAAGTAAGACATATAGGACTCCAACTAGCCATGATCAAAAAAATCTACACCTAGGCATATAATAGTTAAGTTCCAGAAAACCAACCAAAGAACAAAATTCTACAAGCAGTTAGAGAAAAGAAACAAATCACATGCAAAGGAAAGCCCATCAGAATCACATCAGACTTCTCAACACAAACCCTCAAGTCAAGAACCTGGAGTGAAGTATTTCAAGCCCTAAAAGAAAACAACCTTCAACCCAGATTGAGGTATCCTGCAAAACTATCTGTCAGAATTGATGGAGAAATGAGGTACTTTCATGACAAAGAGCACCTGAGGAACTTCATGAATACCAAACGATCACTCCAAAAAATTTTAAATAATATCCTAGGAAAAGACAACGAGGATCACAACCTCAGGAAGCTCAGAAGAATGAATCCATCAGGCATGACAAGAAATTAAATGCAAAGGAGGAGAACCCAACAAAAAGAAGTCATGACAAGGATAAGTCAATACATACCAGTGATAACCACCAATGTTAATGGTCTCAATTCACCAATCAAAAGAAAAAGACCAGCAGAATGGGTCAGGAAGCAAGATCCAACAATATGCTTCAAATAAGAAACACATTTAATTCAATAAGAAACTCATAGACTGAAACTTAAAGGGTAGAAAATACTCCATGTGACAGAAACTCCCCCCGCCAAAAAAAGCAGGAGTAGCCATCCTCTTTTCAGATCAAATGGACTTCAAACCAACACTAATTAAGAGAGACAAAGAGTAAATAGGGAAGGGTGAAGGGGGTGAAGGGAGGGCAGGGGTATGGGGAAAAAATAAGAACCAAGACATATCATGTAAAGGTACAAGATCCCAATGATAAATGCAACTGCACTGTTTGCTTTAAATGTACCAATAAACAATGAGAAAAAATAAAATAAAAAGAGAGAGACAAAGAGGGCTACTACACCCATATAAAGGGAACAATCCAAGAGGAAGAGATGATAATCATAAATATATAAGCACCAAATACTAGTGAGCCCAATTATATAAAACAAATATTAATGAACATGAAAAATCAAATAAGCACTGATGCAATAGTTGTGGGGGAC